GCATTTCCTTTGATTTCTAAAGATTTATTTTTTTAAAGATTTATTTATTTTTATTGGAAAGGTAGAGTTACAGGGAGGAGAGAGAGAATTCTTCCACACACTGGCTCATTCCCCAAATAGTCAACTGATTGGATCCAGAAGAAGGAATTTCTTCTATGTCTTCCACATGGGTCTAGGGTCCCAAGGACATTGGCCATCCGTCACTGCTTTCTGAAGCCATAGCGGAGAACTGGATTGGAAGTGGAGCAGCTGGGACATGAACCGGAATCCATCTGTGATGTCAGTGCTGCAGGCAGAGGCCTAGCCTACTAATATGCCACAGCATGGGCCCCTTGGCAGTTTCTACCTATCCAACTTCTCTACTCCTAGGTATTTAATTGATGCAGGGAAGGGGACAAGGGAGGAAGAAGCTGGGTCCACATCAGATTATCATTAAGAAAAAATATATAAATAAAAATCATACAGAAAGAATCTAATATCCACAAACAGGTTAATGAGTAAGAACTCTTAAGGCCCAGCAATGGCTCGACTGGCTAATGTTCCATCGTGAAAGTACCAGGATTCCATATGGAAACTGGTTTGTGTCTTGGCCGCTCCACTTCCCATCCAGCTCCCTGCCTGGGGCCTGGAAAGGCAGTCAAGGACGGTCCAAAGCCTTGGGACCCTACATCCACGTGGGAGATACAGCAGGAGGAAACTCCTGGCTTCGGATCAGCTCAGCTCCAGTAGTTGCAGCTGCTTGGGGAGTTAACTGCAGACAAATCTCCCTCTCTGTCTCTCTTCCTCTCTCTGTATATCTGACTTTGCAATAAAAATAATAATAAAAAGATGTTGCCCGATAGGTAAGGATTAGATGCTAAGGAAACCTCGAGAATCGAGAAGTTCATGAAATGACTATGGTGACAGTTTCATAAGTGTAGACGTCCAAACCTAGGGTCAGCATCATGGCATAGCAGACAAAGTCAGCATCCAATAGGGCCCTGCTTCATGCTCCTGTTAATGGCCTAAGGAAAGTCACGGAAGATGGCACAGGTGTTCAGGACCCAGAGGTCCACAGTGGAGACCCACTTGGTGCTCCTGCCCTTTGAAGCCATCTGGGTACGCTAGCAGCAGATGGAAGATAGCTCTCTGTCTCTCCCTCTTTCTCTGTTAACTCAATTAAGTAACTTAAAAACCATACTTATTCAGTAAATATACTGAATGTCATTACGCCTCAGCAACACTGCTTTCTAAAAGGAATTCAAGACAAAATGGAAACAACTGAAAACAGGCACAGGCAATTCAATAAAGGAATAAAAGGGGTCCCTGAAAAAGGCACAGAACTCAAGAACCACTTTCCATGAACAAATTGTTTTAAATTTAGAAATACATATTGAATAGCACATCACACATTGGAGCACACTGACTCAAAACGCTTAACATCATTTTAAAGATATTTTTCGGGCCTGGCACAGTAGCTCAGGCTAAAGTCCTCACCTTGTACACACCGGGATTCCATAAGGGCACTAGTTCTAATCCTGGCAGCCCTACTTCCCATTTAGCTCCCTGCTTGTCCAGGGAAAGCAGTCCTGGGATCCTGTGCCCACATGGGAGAAGCCCATGTGGTAGAAGCTCCCGGCTCCTGGCTTCAGACTGGCACAGCTCTAGCCATGTAACCACCTGGGGAGTAAATCAGTAGATGGAAGATCTTCCTCTGTCTCTTCTCTCTGTATATTTGACTTAAAAAAAAAAAAGGTATTTTTCAAGACTAAGAAAAAAAATTACTGCACTTTCTTAAAAGAACAGACTTTGGGGAGAAATCAGCAAAAAAGAGTAAGGAGCATTTAAAAATGTATTATTGGAAAGCCAGATTGACACAGAAAGGTATGTCCCATCTTCAGCTTCTTTCCCCCAGTTGGCGGCAATAGCCAGGTGCGGGCAAGGACAGAGCCAGGAGCCAGGCACTCCATCCAGCTCTTCCATTTTGCACCTGGAAAGCAGCAATGGATGGCTGAGTCCTTGGGCCCTGCAACACTCTGAGTTCCTTCCTCCTGACTTTGTCCTGGTCCAGCCCAGATCACGGCAGCCAATGGGGAGAGTGAGCCAGCAAGTAGAAGAACTCTCCCTAGAACATATATCAAAATAATTTTTTTAAAAAAGCAGTCCTCTGAAGACCTGAATATGAATTGCAAGTCTCAGTAGTGATCAACTGAACAAATAGCCCATTCTAGCAACCAGAATGTGGCCTTTAAATATCACCTGCCTTAATGATAGGGCTTCCTGAGAGCAGCCGACTCCATGACGAGGGTCGGAAGTGAGTGGAATGATCAGACAGCAAGGACATGGGGACCAGGGTCTCCTCAGAAACTGTGGGTCAACCAAACCCGGCTGTCAACTGAAAGACAACCTATCGGAAAGGATAACTGCAACCCCAGCCCGTCACGCGTTTACACTCACCATCACTTCCCCTGGAAACACAACTTACGCTTCACAATGTTAAAACTTTCCTGAAGCTAAAACGTAAATATCAAATCAACTTTTTTTACAAGTGCCCATCTAAATTGTCACATTTTCACCCATTATGAAAGGTTCATACTTAATGTTTTGCTATTAAGCACTCTGAAAACTAAAATGTTCAGAACTGAAGAATTTGTACCTTAAAAGCCAAAACAAAGATATCTGAATTCCACTCATCAAAATTTTACTCTTCTGCTGCAACTTTAAACCATACAAACCCTGCTATAATTAAGATATCCTCTATTAATAAAAGGAAGTCAAAGACTAGAGCAAAATTAAATACTTGTCTCAACAATGAAATAAAAAATTTTTTCTGGGGGCACAGTGCAGTAGCCTAGTGGCTCGTTCTGGGCTTGCACAGCCAGGGATCCCAGATGAGCATGAGTTCTAATCCCGACTGCTCCACTTCCCATCCAGCTCCCTGCTTGTGGCCTGGAAAAGCAGTCAAGGACAGCTCAAAGCCTTGGGACCCTGCACCTGCATGGGAGACCCGGAAGAGGTTTTTGGGCCTGGCTTCAGATCGGCATAGCTCCAACCACTGCAGCTACTTGGGGAGTGAATCATCTGACGGAAGATCTTCCTCTCTCTCTCTCCTTTCTGTATATGACTTTGCAATAAAAATAAATAAATCTTAAAAAAAAAAAGGAATCTAAAACAACAATCATTTTAAAACAAAACAATATTGGTATGTCTATAAACATCTAAATGATAGATGGGAAGATTAACATTCTAAGTCCACTATCAGAATAAAATAACTACCAAGAAAATCAGCTGATTTCCCCCCAGCTACTTGGTGATCCACTAAGAAAATTTTCATCTATATATGCATTTATAAATTAAGTATTTGATCAAAAAGGCAATCTGTATAGACCTAATAAGTTTTACACAAAAATTACTTCAAAATAAGTTAACACAATTTTGTGTGTTAAAAAATTTTAAAAGCGGTCTGGCCTAGCAATTCAAGTCCTTGCCTTATACACACCAGGTTCCCACAGGGACACCAGTCCCAATCCCAGCAGTCCTGCTTCCCATCCAGTTCCCTGCTTGTGGCCTGGGAAAGCAGTCGAGGATGGCCCAAAGCCTAGGGACCTTGCACCCGCGCGGGAGACCCAGAAGAAGCTCCGGGCTCCTGCCTTCAGAATGGCACAGCTCGGGACTGGGAGTGAATCAGCGAACAAAAGATCTTCTCTCTGTATATCTGACTGTCCAATTAAAAAAAATAAACCTTTAAAAAAAAACTTCTAAAAGCAAAATTCCATTCCTCTAAATGCCACACAGAGAACTTGGACTGACCAGTAATTACAATGAGTCCCGCACTGAGATGCCCAACAGGTGAGTATCTGTCACACTCCCGTTGCAGTGGCAATTCAGCTTCAGAATGCCAGCTTTCTGGTAATGCATCCCCCTGCCCCCAAGGCTGCAGGGAACTCCCTCTGCCCCGCCCCCCCCCGGCAGCAGGGACCGGCCACCTGGCGCGACTCCTGCTCAGGCTTGGCTGCTGAAGCCACTGGGAGGGAACCAGCAGAAGGAGGTCTTTTTTTTTTCCTGATTCTCAAAAATAAAACAAAAAATTTAAAGGTCACAGCTCAGAGGTTAAAAATGCTTTTTTCCTCCTTCCTAGGGTTTCATTCTTAAAACACATGTTCTTAAGCTGATTGGTGTATTTTACTAGAACAGCAAGGAAATTTGGCTTATCTTCAAGACCACTAAACCAAGCAACCATACACTAATCTTGTGAGACAGAACACTCAATAATAAAGCAGGAGAAATTACAAGCACTTATTGAAGATCACACTCTTAGATTTGGCACTGCCCACACTCCTTGCACCCTCAGGCTCTTCATTCGGCACGCCCCACAGCACTCCAATCCAGACAGACAAGCCTAAAGCTTTGAGTTTGAAGCAACCCCCACCAAACACACTGCAAAAAACATCAACTGGAAAGTTCCTTTTCAGTTTCAGATTCAGAACTTTTGAAAAATAAACCTAGTAAAATATTAAGCACATGCAACACGTTAGCTATCCTAAAAGTTTACAGGCCAGTCAAAAACTGCAACCTCTTCAAGTCCTCAGCTAAAACACCCCTGAGGCCTGAAGACAAGGAATGCAAGCGACACTTCAAACACCCACACAAATATAACCCTCCCGACACACACAAAAGGCTGGACACAGAACAACATGAAACAATACCGCCAACACAAGACTCACACACAATCAACGCCACAAGATTCTGGAAACAAGCCTGTTTGTTCTGGCCAAAAAAGGCTGTGATGGAACAAGCATTCCTCTTTCCAGGGGTTCTCTCAGACACCAGGCAGGAACACGGAACACTACACCAAACTTTACAATCCATCAGAGTATGCGCATAGTACACGCTTCTCAATGACTAGTGTTGTCTCCAAATTGCAGTTGCAAAACTCTGCTTCTTCCAGAATACACTTTCCAGCTACTAGAAAGGAAGATACCCCGGAGTCTGGAACGACGAATGCCATGTTTGCAACTCACATTGTCTCCCCAGTCTTGGCGACATGACAAAGAAACTGATCCAGGACAGGGCACACTTCCTTTTTACCCCTCTTCTCAAAATCTGGATAAGGGAAGAAAGAAGGAACGTTAGCATTGTTTCTCCAATGTTCTCTTCAAGAAAAACTTCTTCTCCCACTCCCTGACCTTTCCCTTCCCGAGGAAGCCATTTTTTAAAACATCAGCCTCCCAGAACCTCCCGATTTTATTTTCAACACGCCACACTCCTCACGGGCAACAGGCAATCTTCCCCCAAGCGGGAAGTGAACTTCCCAAGCCGCTCGGAACTCGGTTATTTCTGCAAGGGCGGCCCGGAGGAACGCCGACACCACACTCCCCGGCCGATCTCTGGTTCAAATGTTTACAACCCTCAAGGCCCCACAAAAGGGGTGCGCTCAGGGATACCCACACACCCCCGCCTCTCAAGAACTCACCAGCCACCCCCCCATCACCCGTCCCCAGCACCTCCCCACCCCCCGAAAAAAAGGGCGATCTGCGCGTCCCAGAATAATTCTCGAAATGCTAAAATCCTGGTATTTCCAGCGGGAGCCCCTCGCGTCCCCAACCTGTTGCTTGCAAGCGGACCCCCCCCCCCACCACCACCAGCACCAGCACCACCTCGGGAGATGGGCAGCCCCTGCCCGAGACAACTCCCAAGTTCCTCGACCACCCATCCCCGTCGCCCCCTACCCCTTGGCCCCACAGGCCTGGCGGAGCTCCGGGCCCAGCCCGCCGCCGCCGCAGGACGGGGGTCCCCTCCCCCAGCCCGCACGCCGGCGGCCGACACAAAGCCCGGGGCCGGGCGGGAGAGGCGCTGCCCACGGGGCTCCCCGCCCCTGGGGGACGCGGGAGGGGGATGGGGTCCCGGGAGCGCGCCCCGCACCCGGCCCCGGCCTGGCCCGCACGACCCCGGCCGGGCAGCAGAGAGAAGCGGGGGACGAGCAGGGGGCAGCGGACACGAAGGGACGCGGGGGGCCACCACCCCCACCTTTGAGCGCCTCCTGCAGCCTCTCGACGTCCATGGCTTCCCGGAGTCCCTCGCAGCCTCCGCCTCACTCCGCGGGGCCTCCCCGGGGCCCGGAGCCTCTCCCCCCCACCCCCCCGGACGCCCGCCCCCTGCCTCGCACACACACACTCCGGCACGCAGGCGACCGGGGCGGGGCACCGAAGGGAGCCGGGGGAAGCGAGCGAGAGCGAGACGGACGGAGCGAGGACCTTCCCGAGCCGCCACCACTAGCCCTCCAACATGGCGCCCGGCACGTCACGCCGCGCGCACACTCGCCGCCGCCGCCGTCCTCGCGCTCCGGCCGGCAGGCGGAGGGCGCGTGCGCCGTGCAGCCGGCCCCGCCCCTCCCGGCCGTGGCCACGCCCCTCCCTCCGGGGCCGCGGCCTGTGGTGGCTGAAGGGGCGGGCGGGGAGGCCGGGCCGAGGGTCGCTGGCTTCTGTGCCGGCGGCGCGACCTCACTGAGCCTTGTTTACCCCGTCCGCACACACCGAGGGCATGCTCTGGTCCCGGTCACCCGATACGTTTGCAGCAACGCGTTGGAAACAGATAATCCTGACCGCAGGAACACCTCCCTGCTCCGGGCGGTGGAGAGCCAGGCACTGTCTGCAAGCCGCTGGGGTCCAATCCCAAGTCAGTTCCTTTACTCTTCGGGGCTCCCCGGCCTTGGGGCCCTGAACTGGCGGAACCTCGCGTTTTCTCTCTTGTATCGAGTGGGTGATTGGGAAGCAGCCGTGAGGCTCGAGCGAGATGAGAAAATGTGAAGCACCCGATACTGGGGGTTGCTGGGTTTGTGAGTACTGTTGAATTACATCAGCGCCTGGGGAAAAGAGGAGGAGTGGTTTCTCAGCCCTCCTGGCCCTGGATCGGTGCAGATGGGGGGGGGGGAAGCATGGTGAGGAGAGAAGCCAGGCGGCCAGGACAGAAAGGACAGCCCCAGAACTCAGGGGTCCTCTCTGTGGAGCCTTTACAAGAAGTTAAGTGGTCCCCTCGTGGGCTCACAGCACAAAATCAGGAGAGAGGTGAAAGCTGTTGCTTGTTTTAAAAGGGGGCAAATTTGGGCACAGCCATTGCTCCAGAACTCTGTTTAAAATTAATAATAATAATAATAATAATAATAATAGTGGCTCTGAGCCTAGCACATTGGCTCAATTGGCTATTCCTCCCTGGATCCCATATGAGCACCGGTTCATGTCCTGGCTGCTCTTCCCACCCAACTCCCTGCTTTAGCCTGGTAAAGCAGTGGAGGATGACCCAAGTCCTTGGGGCTCCCTGCACTCGCACGGGAGACCCAGAAGAAGCTCCTGGCTTCTGGCTTGGGGTGGGCTCAGCCGCAGCCATTGTGGGCATTTGGGGAGTAAATCAGCGGATGGAAAATCTTTGTCTCTTCTGAAATTTTACCGTCCGTTGACTTTGTCTTCAGACGCTTGTTGTTCAGAAGATGCAGGTGACATCGTCAGAGCCCCAGCTGCCAGGTGTCATGCCCTGGTCTTAGTTGACTGTGGTCTCTCGTGCAGTGCAGGAGCCCGCATCTTCCCCTTGCATATGTCCCTGTCTTGTTACTGGGGCAGGATACTAGCTGTACAATACCCTTGCTGCTAGCTCTGCATAAGTATTTCAATGTAACTTGCTTAAAATCCAGTACAATTTAAAATCTAGTTCTTGAGTTCTTCAGTAGATCCTTTCTTTGTAGAACCCAGGTCCTCAGTCACACGTGCCACGTTTCAGGTGCACAAGAGTCACATGTGGCTGGCGGCTTGTGTATTACACATTAAAAAAATTCCACGGTTTGGGCCTGCGCTGTGACACAGTGGCTTGAGTCTCTGCCTGAAGGGCCGGCATGTCATATGGGTGCTGCTTGAAGTCCTAGCTGCTCCACTTCCAGTCCAGCTCCTGGCTGATGTGCCTAGGAAAGCAGCTGAAAATGACCCAGATGTTTGGGCACTGCTCCCACATGGGAGACCTAGAGAAAGCTACTGGCTTTGGCTTCAACCTGACTCAACCAGGCCATTTGGGGAATAGGGCAGCAGGTGGGAGATATTGCTCTCCTCCTCTGCCTCTCCCTCTCTTTATAACTCTTTCAAATACATGAACTAAATCTCTAAAAATCATGTCATTGTTGCAATCCGTCCTATGGGTACTTTCCATTAGAGAACTATGCAAATGTATTCCGCTTGCCTTTATCTTGGCTTAAGTCAGGCTGGATTTCTTAGGGCTCTTAAGAACTCACCTGGCTCTTCCTATTTCAAGGCCCGTGCACCTGTGGCATTTCTGTTTGAAAGCAGTTCCTCTTTAAACGATCTGACTGCCCTCCTCATAACTCAGGTCTCAGCTTAAATAACACCCTCTGAAAACCTTTCCTTTGATTCCCATAGGCTGTCATTGCTGTATGCGCCCCATCTCCTGTTCCAGCCCTTATCCCTTGTTTGGAAATCAAGACTGTAAAGAGAGCGAGGATTGAGGCCGGTGGCGGGTTAAACCGTAGCCTGACGCACTGGCGGTCCACTGGAACATCGGTTCCAGTCCGGGCTGCTCCGCTTCCACTCCAGCCCTCTGCCAAGGAATCTGGGAAAGCACTGGAAGGTGGCTCAAGTGCTTGGGCCCCTGCAGCCCACAAGTGAAACCCAGGTGGGGTTCCTGGCTCCCAGCCCTTAGCCCTGATCATTGATGCACCGGAAAGTGAACCAAGCAGTGGATGGAAGGTCTCTTTCTCTCTGTTCCCCTCTCTGTAACATTGCTTTTTAAATAAATCAGTCTTTAAAAAGGAAAAGAGGAGCTGTGGCCAGTGGTGGCTGTTTGGCCTGCTGTTTAACACACTGCATGGGATGTTCACATCTTCAAAGGAGTGCTTGGATGGAGGTCCTGGCTGTACTCCTGCTCATGTCCGCCTGGGAAGTAGCAGTGATGGCTCAAGAGGCTGGGTGGTTTGAGGCCCCAGCTCTCTCTCTCTCATTCTCCCCTCCCTTTCAAATAATATTTGTTTTAAAGAAAGATAAGACAAAAGCATAAACTTACTTTCCTTCATCTTCCATAGATGGCTTCTCTAGCTTTGGATGTCCCAGTGTTTGTCATGTGAAAGCCTTCTAGTGGTGATAGCTCTTTTGGAGGAAACCACAACCGTGGCAGCCAGTCTCCACAGCTCTCCCTGGTGCTCCTGGCTTCCAGGGACTCGCTGCATCCCTGTGGAATCTCTCACACTGAATCGGAACTCTCCATGTGACCAATAAGATGAGGCAAGAGGGATGATGGGGGGATTCTATGATGAGGTCATAAGCAGCACTGAGTCTTCTGCCTTACATTCTTGGGCTACTAAGGTGAGAGCCTACCAGAATGCCCACCTGAGCCGCATCCCAATCAAAGAAACATGTCAGATGTGCCTAGGTGTCCTAAACCTCTCAGTTTCAGGATAACTTGTTAGGCAGCAACATACAACTGGTGCAACAAATAACACTACCAGCTAATACCTATTAAATACTTTCTATGTATCCAAGCCTCTTTGAGGCACATTATAAATACCAGTTCAATCCTCACAAATCTCCAATGAGATGATACAATTAGCCCTTCTTAACAGAAAACAGGGCTGAGATAATGGGACAGTAGGTTAAGTTGCCCAGTTACAGCACCTGCATCTCATACCTTACCTAGTTCAAGTCCCAGCTGCTCAGCTTTGGATCCACTTTCCTGCAAATGTGCATCCCGGAAGGCAGCAGGTGACAGTTTAAGTGCTTGGGCCCCTTGCTACTGTGTGGGAGACTCAGGTGGGGTTCCAGGCTCCTGGCTTCAGCGTGGTTCAGCTGTAGCTCTGGAGAGCATTAGGGAAATGAGCTAGTGGATGGATAAAAGGCTGTCACTCTGCCTTTCAAACAAAACTTGTTTTAAAAGATGTGCAATCACTTGCCCACTATCCTGCAGCCACACCACATGGGCAAGTGACTGGCCCCGGATTCAAAGCCAGACTAACCTCAGACCCCCAACCCTTCCTTATCATCAAGAAGTCTGCAGCATGCCAGGAGATGTAAGATGCGGGGGTAGGCCCCGATGCAAGGTGGAAGGCACGGAAGCAACTCAGGTTTTCTAAGGTCTCCATATTCCACAGGCAGGGATGGAAGTTGCTTTTCCCAAGTCTCACTTTAAAGACCGGAAGGGATCTGTACGCAGGGAAAAGAACCCTCCCCTGAGCATAGGGAATGAATTGACCTTCTGTGCACTGATTCTCCCCTTAGATGGCTACAACATTCAGGCAATGGCCAGGAATTCCATCTGGGTCTCCCACATTGGTGCCAAGGGCACAGATGTTTGGGTCATCTTCTACTGCCTTCCCATGAGCCACAAGCTGGATCTGAAGTGTCATAGTCTGGACTCCAAAGCTCTACTGTGGGATACTGGCATCACAGGCAGCAGCTTAATCTGCAAAGCCAGCCCCTTCAGAATGCTCTTTTCCTTAGTGGAGTGAACAGTTTTTCCACTGCTGCCTAGCCTTGCTATTGGGAACTTGTCCAAGAGACCTGTGTTTTGTTGTTGTTGTTGTTGTTTGTTTGTTTGTTTTGGCTAGCAACTGTATCAACAGCCCAAAAACCCTATTAACTCAGAGAGCCTCACTTGCAAGAATTCAGATTTTGTTGGAAATATATTCAGTTGGAAATGTGTTTAATACATTTAACCCACTGAACTCCATGGCCCAGCAGCACAGTGCACTGCGGAGTAGTAGATGGTTCACATTCCTCATCTCTTGGCTGACCCAGAGCTAATGGTTGGTAGCCAGGAGGAGAAAAAAAGAGCTGAAATTCAAAGTACAGATTCTATAGCATGAGTATCATTTTAACACTATCACAAGGCCAAAAAGTGACAAGTGCCCCGTCGTAAGTCAGAGACCATCTATAGATGTGTCTTGGGATTTTCCCATTTTATTTTACACATATTGCTTTAAATTTTTCTATTTTATCAAAATGTATTTGAAAGGCAGAGAAAGAGACAGAGACAGAAAAGGAGAGCTCTTGCATCCACTGGTTCACCGTCCCCTACCCCACCCCCCCGCCAGCATGCCCAGATCAGCCATAGAGGTTTATACCCGGAACTAAATTTGGGTCTCCTAGGTGGGTGATAAGATCCAAAGTCCTTGAGCCATCACCTGCTGCCTCCCAGGGTACACACTGGCAGGTAGCTGGGTCATAAGCAGAGGAGCCAGGGCTGAAACCAGTTCACCACTATGGAACACAGATGTCCCAACTGATAGCTTAACCCACTG